AAGGTGTTTACAGTTACCTTAAATTAGTGTTCTCAAAAGGTATTCTTTGGGCGAGTTTCGAGGGAAATCTTAAGGCAAGCATCAAGGAGGACTGATGAGAGCTTAAATATCGTGGGGCATAAGTCACCTAAGGGGGGAGGGGTTACACGCAGGTAAGAAGAAGAAGGAAAGAAAGGGAACAAGGGGGCAAGGCTATTGCAGTCACCAGAAAAGATGTCGCCGGTGGGCAGCAGTACAACACCANCACACACACACACACATATATATATATATATATATATATATATATATATATATATATATATATCACCCGTTTGGCCATATGTTTTGGGTATATTTTTTCAACAAAAATTTTAATTTTTTTTTTAAGTACCCAAAAACTAGTTTAGAGCAGTTTTTGGGTAAAAATATTTCTTCCACGCACAAAATTTCAAGTTTATTTTTTTAAAATAAAATGCATATCCAAACACCGCTTCAACTTCTAAAAATTATTTTTCAACAAAATTTCAAAAATTATTTTTTCAATTTTCAACCAAATCTATGTCCAAACGCTAGCATAAGTTCGATGCAGAAAAAGACCTTTTTGTTCACCCCTTTATGAGGGGCTGAGTTTTGGGCTGCTGGTTTTCGGAGATGGCTAATAATGAAAGTTGAGAAAATGGTAGCATAAATTTACATGAAGTAATAAGTTCACCTTCATTTTGTATGTTTTGTGGATAAATTAAGCTGGTGACTTTTTAATTATGGTTCCAGGTGTTATACATTATAGGCTATAGCTGTTTTAAGAATTTCGCTTTTTTTTTTCTTCTTAAATTTTCAGAAATATTTTTGAAAACTTATTAAATCAAACACTTCAGTATTTAGCGCCTTTAATTTTGGCTTGATTGAAAATTTCTTTCCCTGTTTATTTTGTGCGCTTTCATTATGAAAATTAAAATGATCTACATTTTACATATTATTGTATGAGAATATGAGATTATCTAAAACCTAATCCCAAACATGGATTTGAAAATTTAACAAAGAATACTACAAGAAACTTGACTTTTAACGACCATTTCTTAACGAAAGGACATGAAACTTAAGTAAATTTTTAATTTCAACATTATCACGGAAACATATTCTATCCTTAAAAGAATAATATCTAGTTGTTAAAAAGTAATTTATTAAATAAAAACATGTGCAAACTTTTTCCCTCTTTTTTTCGCCCAAACCCAACCCTACAACTCCCCCCCCCCCCCCCAAAAAAAAACCCTTAAGCTTGGATAAAAAAACGCTTGTTTCAATCGGAAGAATGAAGAAAACTGGTCACCACCACCGTCTCCTCCGGTTGCCCATCTTGGAGTACACTTCTTCGAAGTAAAAATACTGCCCGTCTCCTCCGTTAACATCGACTGCTCGCCTAAGAATTTCCTTCTCATCAACGTAAGTTTATGCCAAATCGCTAAACCTGCTGTTGTAACTATTGAGTGGAATTGGGTATTCTTTTCATTGTCCAATGGTCTCTCGGTTTGATGGTATTGGTCTTCTTTTCTTTGTGTTTATCAAGTATTTTGGATTACTTCTTAAAATATAATGTTTCCCAATACTATCTTTTATCATAGTCTAGTTATGCTGGATTAAACCTGCCCAGAGTTGTAATTTTCTGCAATTTTTGTTGTTTTGTTGACCTAAGTATGGATCTTCATTTGGTACATGAGGTGAAGGGAGAAATAGGTACAAATATAGGAAGTTGTAATCTCTTTTTTCTTGTCTTGTATGATTTTTCTATATATTGCTCTTTATCTATGTGCTTTTCGTTGCAGTTATGGCTAAAGATATAACCATGAAGACATAATGGTTTTTTAAAGAATTATCACTAGTTGGATGAACTGAAATACATGGGACTTTACAATTCTATAAAGTTCTTGTCTTTACTTCAAGATGATATGTCCAAGTGTTGGATGGATTTAACTAGGTATAGCAAAGAGTATATTAATGGTGCTTAATGTTTCTTGGACATTGCTTACTCTGTTGAAGATCCTCAAGGAAAAGAATGATATTGGTTTAAGTAGGAAGGGACTATATCTAAGATTTTCTTAAAGACGTGATCTTTTAGCATCTTATTTTTTTAACTTGCTAAACGCATAATAAGAACATTAGTTTCTGTTGATACAGCTTGCAATAAATATATCAATTGAATATCACATGTTTCGAGTAACAAGCAACAAGTAAAGCAGTTACATGTTTCACAATACTTCCCTGGCAATAAATTACCTCCTCTAGAATTGTGCACTTGTATATATGAAGTAAATCACATCTTCATGTCTTACTTATTGATAAAAATCTCAGAATAATAATTCGGTATAACAACACTTTTATTCTACCTCTCTCAATATGTTTTCTTTTTCTCTCCTTAAAAGGAAATTATTATTTTTTTGTTGGTGAGTTCTTGGAGATGATTGTTTATTTTTTGTTCTTTTATTGCTTCACTTGTTCAACAATTTATTTGAATTGAGTCTTACAATCAACTCATATCAGGAAAGAGAAGGTGAAGAAGGCAGAAGTTGCTCGACATTCCCTAGAAGCACAAGTTGCTTGAATTTCTTTGAAGTCGATGCTCAGCAATCCCAGGAGGTAGTAGTTGTTGTTCATGCAGACATTGGTTCACCATTATTACTTCGTGATTGTTGTTTGTGAGGATAAATACCATTTCAAGTATGTCATTTCTCTTCTGTTTCACTATTAGTTCAAGAATATTAAATGCTTGCATTATATTAGGTATAGTTGATAGGCTTTTTAAATTAGCAATCCAAAGTGAAAGATACTAACATGAATCCTTATCCATGGGTTACATTTGAAGTCTTTTTTCTGTAGCTTTTCCTATTAATGACATGCATGAAGTGATATTATATTAAGATTTCCAACTATAAGTTGTCCCTTTATCACTTGCACTCGACTATTTCTTTCCTATCTCTGACTATTTAGGTCCGTGATCATATTTTTGATGATCTTCCATCTAATATTACTCCTATTAACTTTACATGGTTACTCCATTCTAAATTTATAAATTAGATTCCAACTCCAGTCAATCTCAGAACTACAAATATTATAAGCTAAAAAAAGGAATGGAAGAGGATCTTATGGTACAAAGGGAAAGAATTTTGTCCAAATGTTACCATTCTCAGCAAAAAGAAAGGGAAAGAATTTTGTCATTGATATCTTATCTGTGAGATATGGTTCCCCAAAAGAGAAAAAGCTTCCATACTCTTACTACTGAAGTTTTTTCTTCCTAAAGTAAATTTCATTTGTGGTAGATTATCAATGGTAATTCCTAATTCACTCAAGTGAAATTGAGAAGGATAGCCCTACTTATGTGAGACTCAAGTCAACCTCCACCTATGATTAATATTTGTAATTACATTGTATGTAATCTTCATATAGATCTCATGAACATTAGGCTTATCTTTATCTTTTTCTCCTCTACCCCACTTTAGATATTGTATATACTACAATGATGTGAACATGAAAAAATTAAGATAGATTTTTAACAAACTTGGAATTGTAAGATTTTTAACAAACTTGGAATTGTATTTCTAGTATTACCGCAGTTCTAGGCAGCGTTCTGCCTTTCTAGACAACGTTCTGCATTTGTAGATAGCATTCGTCATTTCTACAGTGTTATTGAATTCTGGACATCATTTTCGTATTTTGTATTTTTGCACAGTTTTCTGCATTTTTGTAAAGCGTTCTTCATCTCTACACAGCATTCTGCATTTCTACGCATCATTCTGCATTTCTGCACAATACTCTGCATTCTTGTGTGTTTCTGCATGATTAAAGTTTCATGAAATGTCAAAACTTCCACAAGCAATTGATGCATCAAGTTTTTAATCTTTTTTCCTAATTGCTGATGTAATGCAGTAACATACACTTTTCATTTTATCAGATCAAGAATTTGAAGATATGGCTTTCTTGAAGATAGTGTAGAGCGAGTTGAAACTGATGAAAAATATTAAAGAACAAGTTGAAGTGCAAGAGGAACCCACTTTGTTTTGCGAGGGATTTTTTAAAGATGTTGTTTGTATATGCTATAGTTCTATTTTCTCTCATTTAAGAGTTGAAAAAAATAATGTCATACAATTTGAATTGGTATAGTTTTTGGTAATGTGATACTCTAATCCTTTGTAATCAACTATGATGTTTATATGAGTACTGACTTTTTTGAATGTGTTTGGATATGTGTGTGGATATGTCAATATTAGCTGCCGTTATTTATACAATTAACGAAAAAAAATTTGGTCGCTAGAAGCACTTATAAAGGCTGAGTTTGTTGCCGTTATTGATGTTTTGGCGACCAAGAAATGACAATTAGCGAAGGAAAATTCAGTAGCTAAAAGGAGGAATAACGACTGGATTTGTTGCCGTCGTTAAAAAGTTTTAACGACCGAATTCCAATCCGGTCATGTACTTTTAACGTCGGAACTTTTAACGACCGGTGACGACCGTAATTTTTCCGGTCGTAAATGATCAATGACGATTGAAATTGGACTTTTAGCAACCGAATTTTTTCTCGCTAAAGTCCTTTTTTTCTTATAGTATATTACTATCAACTATTCTCTCCAAGTTATGGATATAAACATGGTTCTATGGCTCAAGGCACTCTTAATACATACTGCTATCTTAATAAAATTTGAAGAAAGTTTTTCAAATATTGCTTTCGAAATAAATGGTTCTTGAATTTTTGTAGGTACGTCGTTATTTTACGTTGTGACACCTTATGTTTTGTTAAACTAAAATACCTTGAAACACCCCAAACTTGGTCTTTTTTTCATTTTCTTTGTTACTCTCTCTTTCTTCTAAATTCTTTGTTTAGTTAATATTAATATTATTATGTAGTTTCCATTGGGTTTGATAAGGCTTGAATTTTTTCTACATGGTGTTTGTTTCTTCTTTCTAAAATGAAATTAAAATATTAATTAAATTTTCTTTATATTTTATGAATAACACACAAGTTTATTTATTTTATTGAATAACAAGCGTTTGTAATTCCAATAAACAATATGTTTTCGGTTTAAGAATATAAAATAGCTGGTCGGCATTTATCTAGAGATAAACAAAAAATACAAATCCGATTTCATAATTTGTCTTCATGCTTGTATAGATTCATATAATTTGAAGTAGCAATTTGACAATTAGGACATGTAAATTGTTGTATGGAACACATGGTTTTTCATCACAAAGCATAAATTAAAATAAAATACAATAATTTAAATATGCTTTTAGTCTGACTCTTTTCTTCCTTTTTTTTTTCAACACTAGTATATGATCGCATCAATAAACTCTATAAATAATCTACGTCAACTACGATCTTCATCATCTTCATTGCAAATCCACTACTTCCTAGGTTCCATTTAATACTCCTCGAATTCAACCCTACAATGAAAATTAAATATAAAAGTTAGTTGTTGCAGACGGCATGTTTAAGCAAAAATGATAGTGTAAATTTGCTAAAGATTATATTCTAACTTGAAAGGTGCAATTAAAATAAAAAAAAGATTTATAAGAATCGAATGTTTATAGATAGTAAGTCTTGGCACATGATGCATGTGAGGGTAAGGGAAAGAAGTCTCTTTGTTACGTATAAGAAAAAAAGAGATTTTCCAATAAGAAAAAAGTTGGTTGAGACACGAGATACCATGGCGGGTTTGCTAGCAAAAAGTACAAAAAAACTAATTATATGTTCACTTTATATATCTAGGAAAACAAATTGAAATTAAAGGGGAATATTACCTTGTCCAAGGAAGATCTAACGAGCTGTTGTTTCAACTGCTATTTTTGCATTTGAGATTTGGCCATTTCTTTGCAAAAAGCATTTTGTTTCTGTACTATTTCAAGTTCCTTCTCAGTTTCTTCAATTGCTAACCTCAGTTTTCTTTCAATAGCAAGGCAACCATACACAGGGTTTTCTTTCCTAATCTTAGCCTCTAAAATTAAGTTTTCTGCCATTTTCCCTTTTTGCTCATCATCAACAGAATTAAGCATATTTATGATGTTGCTTATGCCGAAAAGTCGATAAACATTTTGGAAATCTTCAGTTTTATTGGAAGGAAAATAGGGAGCTAATTGGCAATTTGCATCACATTTTTTCCGTAGGTGCGTACAGGCTGCACATTTCTCAGTAGATATGAGCGGATCTGCATTCTCCATCTTTTTTTCACTTGGGAATTAACCCTAAATACTTAATTAAAAGAAGATATATAAGAAAAGTTTTCCTCCCTATTTTCTTGTTAATATAAAAATGGAGAAGAAGTGAGTTGATTAAACACAATGCAATATGAGAAATATATATCGGAAGATATATAATGATTTTACCGTTTTAATTACAGAATCAGATTTATCTAAGATAACAGGATTTGACTCTTACTTAAATACATTTAATAAGCCTAGATTTTGTTCTCTCTAAAAATGAGTGATATACTTAAATTTTTTGGGTAGCAAATCCTTCATATTACTTGTTAATAAATATGTTCATATTTGGTTACTTGCGATTCATGGGACATATGTAATTACAGTTCAAGCGAAGTTTAGTGTGCGCGTATTTGCGTTAGGTTTAAAAATTGAATTAAATTACGTATATAGAGTACATTCAAATTTCTTCATAACAACTCCATTTGTTTTTATATTTTTCGTCTTTTATAGTAAATAGATATTATAGTACACCTATAATATCATTTGACATTTAAATATTATTTAGTTGTTATAGATAAAACTATCTATAATTTTTTTTTCTTTTTTAATTTTACATATAGAATATAAAAATATTATCTTATTTTGACACAATGCTATCTTTACTTCTAAAGAAATAGCTTGATGTAGACTCCATATATATGACATGAATTATTCTCATCAAGAAATCAAAATGCCTTACATAAAATTTTTAATACACCACAAGAAATATTGAGTCCAATAAAAGACTCAAACTTTAGTGAGTATTTCTTAAAATCTTAAACTTACTTACGGTGGGAATAGAAAAGATATGTGCAGATTTTTAAATATTAGGCATTATGTACGGCGAAAACTTTTGTGCAATGGAATAAAATCATACTTGCATATATTTTAATGAAATTAAATAAAATCTTTAATTATGGAAGTTTGTATTAACAAAATATTTTTATCATAAGTGGTGCATTACGTTTTCAAAATATTTTGCCAAACTTTTTAGACTTATTATCGATAATTTTAGAGATTTTACATGGCTGTTATAGAAGGATAATTTTACAAAGAGCGTGTTGTTATAAAGATGGATGTTGTTGTTATAGATACACTGTTACAGAGAGGTAAAATATAATATAAAAAAATAATTTCATAAACAACTTGACTTTTTATATAAGTAACGTTATATAGGGATGTTGTTATAGAGATGTGTGACTGTATATAGTTGAAAAGAGTAAAATAAAATGTTTAATCGGTAATATTATTTACTTTTTGGTCTAAAACAAAGAAATAGTAAAATGGGAAAAAAGTTTCAAAGGTTTACGATTTCTTAATAAACATGAAATTTAAATTATAGCAATATATATAGTTGAATATGGTAAAATTTCTTCAATTTCACTTAATGTAGATATTTCTATTTTATATTACAACTTAATTTATCAAGTTTCCAAATAACATAGTCTAATTATTTTTGCTGGTCAAATTCTTTTTTTTTCTTCTAAAATTTTACGCCTTTAGGTGGCGCTTTCCTTTTATATAATCCCAGCAAAAAGAGCACATAACAGAGGGGGACATTCCACCTGACCTCTGGTCAAATCCTTTTATGATGATAGATTTGATCAAATACATCAAGAATGAGATTGTAACATCCTAACTCGCCAGTGATATTGTCCACTCTGTGCCTAGGCCTGTACGAGTTTAAAACGCGTCACTAGGGTCTAAAACTTGTTAACTTATATACCCAACATTCCTCTTGTGTTTTGCCGATGTGGGACACTGTCTAAAGTTTGGGGTGTTACACACACACCTTCTTATGGACTCAGTGTCCTCGCTGAGGTTTGCCCCACCACATGGGATTCGCCAAGACTCAGCGTCCTCGCTGAGGTTTGTCCCACCGCATGAGATTCGCCTAGACTCATCACAAGGTATGCCCCGCCTAATCGGAATTTGCCTAAGCTCAGTTGAACTCTGATCTACCATCGGCAAGGCTGACACAAGAGTGTCTCTGATACCATCTGTAGCAGCCCAACCCGCTAGTGATATTGTCTGCTCTTGGCCTAGGCCCGCACGGGTTTAAAAAGCGTCACTAGGCTTTAAGGCTTGTTAACTTATATACCCAGCATCCCTTTTGTGTTTTGCCGATGTGGGACACTGTCTAAAGTCTGGGGTGTTACAGAGAGTCATGACCCCAATTCACCCTTCGTAGGTAGTCGTGATTATACCTAGTCTCTAACACTAAGTAAGCTTAACAATTTGCGAAAAATACATAAAATAAAACTGAAGCCCATTTCTCAATATATGAAATAAATATAAAATTTCAATTCAATAATGTCAACCCCCAAAACCCGGCAGAAATAAGTCACACTCTTCTAAGAATTTATTCTGAGTATCTCAATACATCAGAGTCTAAAGTGAAATCAGGAAGACAACATAATAAGGATAGAGGGGGACTCCGAGGTCTGCGGACGCTGGCAGATGTATCTTGAAGTCTCTGCGTGCAGCTAGTTCAATGATACCTGGTCTGATAGGAAGTACCTGGATCTGCACAAAAAGATGTACAGAAGCGTAGTATGAGTACACCACAACGGTACCTAGTAAGTGCCAAGCCTAACCTCGGTAGAGTAGTGACGCGGTCAGGTCAGGCCCTACTGAAAATAATAATAATAAACATACGCCAGAGGATATAATAATATAATGAGATGACTGAGGAGTGAACAACACAACAAATAGAGGTAAACAAGGTACCGTCTCGTAGTCCCAAAAGTAAATATGCAGTACAGGGGGATCTCCTGAGAAACCACCTCGTAGTCCTAAAAGTAAATATGCAGTACATGGGGATCTCCCGAGGAACCGCCTCGTAGTCCCAGAGTAAATATGCAACAGATAACCGAAGGAACAACGAATTTACAGCAAGAATCTTACAGTTAAAGATTTAAATCAAATCAAGGAAGCAGGTAATTCAACTAAGCATGTTGCACATATTGCAAGTAAGAGTTAAGGCACGTAAACATGTGATACTAGGCTAAACATGATAACTACATATACTAAAGCAACTCATTTAAAGAATTTAAAAGAAGATTACTCAGCAAGAACCGATATTTCCAAATTTAGCCTGTGTACGCACTTGTCACCTTGCGTACACGGCGCTCACATATTACAAAATATTATAACAGTATCAAATCCTAAGGGGATTTCCCCCACACAGGATTAGACAAGCCACTTACCTCAAGCCAAGCTCAATCAATCAATAAGAATGCCTTTCCCTTAATTTTTCGACTCCGATCGACTCGAATCTAATCACAATTAATTCGATTCATTCAATACAAATTATAGGAATTAATTCCATATGAAAATACATATTTTTTAATAAAAATCCGAAATTTAACTCAAAAATCGCATGTGGGACCCATGTCTCGGAACTCGACAAAAGTTATAAAATATGAACATCCATTCAACCACGAGTCCAACCATACCAATTTTAACAAATTCCGACATCAACTCGACCTCCAAATCTCAAATTCTTATTTTGAAATCCCTAGGCCAAAATCCTCTAATTTCACATCAAAAACATGTAATTTAATCAAAATACTAATTGATAATCCAATATTATTGACTAACAATGATTACAAGTCACTTACCTCAAGTTTTACCGTAAATTCTCTCTGAAAATTCCCCCAAAACCGTGTTGGAATGTCCAAAAATGACAAAAACTCGGAAACCTTTGTTTTTGTACACTGCCCAGAGGTTCCGCTTCCGTGGAATTTTTAACCGCATCTGCGGTTCCGCTTTTGCGGTAAATCTCCCACTTATTCTACAACCTTCGCTTCTGCGGACAAGGAGTCCGCTTCTACGGACTCACTTCAGCGGTCCAAGGCCCCCTTAGCCCAGGCCGCATCTGTGACCATTGTGTCGCTTCTACGACGCCTCATCCGCTTCTGAGATACCAGGCTCGCTTCTGTGAGCTCGCACCTGCGAGCCAAATTTCGCAGGTGCGATTGCATCAATAGGCAGCAACAAGTTTCAATTATTCTAAGTCCAAATTTGATCCGTTAACCATCCGAAACTCACCCGAGGTCCCCGGGACCTCAACCAAATACACTAACAAGTCCTAAAATATCATACAAGCTTAGTCGAAACCTCAAATTATATCAAACAACGCTAAAAACACGAAGCATACCTCAATTCAAGCCTAATGAACTTAAGAATTTTCAACTTCTACATTCGATGCCGAAACCAATCAAATAAAGTTCGATTGACCTCAAATTTTGCACACAAGTCATAGATGACATAACGAAGGTATACAAATTTTCAGAATTGGATTCTGGCCCCGATATCAAAAAGTCAACTCCCCGGCCAAACTTCCAAACTTAAATTTCTATCTTAGCCATTTCAAGCCTAATTTAACTACGTATTTTTCCAAAATTTTTCGGACACGCTCCTAAATCCAAAATCCTCATACAGAGCTATAGGAACCATCAAAATTCTATTTCGGGGTCATTTACACATAAACCAATATCCGGTCAACCTTTTCAACTTAAGTTTTTATTTTGGAGGCCAATCTCAATTCATTTCAAAACCTCATCAGATTCAAACCAATTACCCCGGCAAGTCTCATAACAACTATAAAGCACAAATTGAGCAGTAAATGAGGGAACGGGGTTGTATTACTCAAAACGACCGGCTGGGTCATTACATTCTCCCCCTCTTAAATAAACTTTAGTCCTCGAACGGGTTTAGAATCATACTTGGAGCCTCAAATAGGTGTGGATATTTGCTCCGCATCTCCCGCTCAATCTCGTAGTAGCTTCTCTGACTGGCTGGCCTCTCCACTGCACTTTTACTGAAGCTATGTTCTTTGATCTCAGCTTTCAAACCCGTCGGTCTAAAATGGTCACCAGCTCCACATTATGCATCAAATTACCATCCAATTGTACTGTACTGAAATCCAAAACATGAGACAGATCCCCGTCATACTTTCGGAGTATCGATACATG